AAGGAGAGCAGGTAAGCTGAAGCCCTGGGCAGCAACCACAGTGGGGCAGAGGGAGCTGGGGGTCTGCAGCCGTGATTCTGCTCGTGGCCTAGCTCATAAGCTCCTCTTCCTCCTGCAGGGTCCCCCTGGCCCCTCAGGCCCGCTCGGTACTCTCGGGCAGCCGGGTGCTGCGGTAAGTATCTGCAGGGTTCCACAGGCGACCCCTGGCGCACCTCGTTTCCCGTGGGTCTCGCAGTTGGTACCTCTGATCCTCCGGGGCACCATCCCTTGGGCGACTCTGGAGTAAGGCAAGGGGCCCTTTGGCTTCTGGGGAGACCCTCCTTGAAACGGGCAGGAGGGGGGAGCAAGGAGATCCGGGTTTCGCTTTCCTTTGGGTATCAGCTCTCCAATTGCCTCTTTCCGCACTGCCATTAGGGTGCGGATGGTGAGCCAGGAGCGAGGGGCTCCCAGGGCCATTTTGGAACAAAGGGGGATGACGGCATCCGAGGATTCAACGGGGCACCAGGACCAATCGGCTTGCAGGTAACGAACCGGCGCGGTGAGTCCCACCCTGCTGCCCATTGACGATCCAGACGCCGCTCACTCGTTCTTTCTCGACAGGGACTGCCCGGACCAGGTGGGGAGAAGGGGGAGACCGGCGACGGGGGACCCCTGGTAAGTGCCACTCCCTTTCTCAAGGGGAATCCCCCCCCAGACACCCCCTCCATGGGGTTCCTGCCCAGCTCTGTTGTCGAGATGTGGACGTTCATCGGTATTTTCTTACAGGGACCCCCGGGACCCCCAGGACCACGAGGACCAGCTGGAGCCTCCGGAGCTAGCGTGAGTCTCTCTCCTACCCTCTTCTCCACATGATCCCTCCTCTTAATAGATTCCCAAAGCTGAGCCTGGTTGGGTCTCTTTTCCCGCAGGGTCCACAAGGTCCCACAGGAGGGATTGGAAACGAGGGTCCGCCGGGACAAAAGGTAAGTGGGTTCCGGGGAACGCTTGGTGGAGGGCAGTCTGTGATATTTTGGGGACAAGCCGAGAGGTGTGGGTTTTCCAGGCTCTTTGGGGAAGAGATGTAGGACAGCAGATCCCAAATGAAAGGTGGATCCTGGCCACGGTCCCTGTGGATCTCTGCACAGACTCCTTCCTCTCCTCTGGAGGATTTTGAGGCCTCTTAGACTAGCCCCCGGGCGGCAGCCTGTTCAGAACTAGGCCACAGAAATGGTGGGCGAGTGCACACACATAGTTTTATTTGTGTGTGCAACAGGCGGGAAACAAGTACACACACGCAGCTCCATTTGTGCAAGCAGTGGGCGCACGTGCTTGTTGCTGATAGAAATGGAGCTATGCACACGCACGCACTCACCCACCGCTCACGTTGAAACCATCCCCCCTCCCCCCTCCCTGCCGGTTCACAAAGCCGCAAAAGTTGCAGACTACGGTCTTAGACGGATCAGCTCCCGCAACCGTTGGTGGTCCAGCTGGGCTGGACCGTCCTTCCCATCAGCCTCAACCAGAGCAGGGACAACCCCACCCGCTGGGAGAGACATTTCAGGGCCAAAGATGGCTTTCCTTAGTCGTGTCAAGCGCTTCGTTGGGACTGCTGTGTCCCAGGAACCGAATGGTTGACCACAACTAGCCGTACACACACACCCCTCTTGGGCTTTGGAGAGCCAGGAGGCAAAACGTAGCAGAGGAACCCCATGGAGGAGGGCCTTGTGACACTCCTTCGGGGCCCGATCCACTGACCTCCCTTCTCCCATCCCAGGGCGAATCAGGAGAGCAGGGCGGATCCGGAGTCAACGGAGAGCCCGGCCCGAAGGTGCGTCTCCTTCTTCTTCCCTGTGATTGTGTCGGTATATCTGTTCTGTCCCCTCCCAGAACCTCTTTCTCCGTCCTTCCGCCTGTTGGCGTCACAGCAGAGATCGGTGGCCTTGGGTGCCACGTGGAGTAGGCTTCACACACCCTCCTGCACATCCTGGTGGGAAGGTGCCCCTCGTCCCAGCTGCCAGAGACCCCCCCTCCCCAATATGGCTTGGCTGCCTCCCCCCAGTCAAAGGCTTCAGAGCTTTGCTGCAGCAAGGGGGTCCCGTTTTCCACTTCCGGGGTGTTGACAGGTATACCCCCCCTGCATCTGGAGGCTCCACATCGGCCCTCGATCCTAATAGCCCCTCCTCTCTCCTCAGGGCCCACGGGGTGAGCAAGGAGAGAAAGGGGAAGCCGGAAGCGCTGGTGTGGCTGGACCCCCTGGAGGAAGAGGGCCCGTTGGGGACGATGGGCCCAAGGGGAACCCGGTAAGAGAAACTGCAGACATGGGAGTTGGTGGGTGGTGAGTCTGGGACGGGGGGGCAGCCTCCCCCATGCTGAACTCCTATAGACTACAAGCCCCAGTAATCCCAGAACCACATAAGAGATGGGCTTTGTAGTTTAGGGTCAGGGAAATTGGTGAATAAAGCTGACGTAACAGACTATTTTGTCCAAGTGTTGGAAAGATCTTGGTTTTTTGGGGGGGGGAATGTATCTAAGGATTAGATGAGGCTAAAAAGTGCAGAATTCAATATTTGTCCGTGTCAGGGGGAGAGAAACAGGAAGCTGGACTCTGGTGACCCTTGATTTCTCTCTCTGGCTGCAGGGTCCGGTCGGCTTCCCTGGAGACCCTGGACCCTCTGGAGGAATCGGGCCCCGGGTGAGTATGACCCTCCTCCCCTCTTGGCTGGGCCCTCCCCCTGAGCCCGCCTTCCGCTAAGACCACCAGACCCATGTGCCTCTCCCCACAGGGCCAAGACGGAGCTAAAGGCGAGCAAGGAGACAATGGCGAACCCGGAGAGGCGGTGAGCCTTCGGGTGGGGAGGGGGGCGGTGGGACCCTACCTGGGATGTTGCTGGGTCAAAAACCCCCCACCCACTGTCCAGCAGGAAGTGGGCGGTGTCTGACCCATGGCCTCCCACTACACCCCCACCCCTCCCCGTGGCCTCGTGCTTGTGCCCCGGAGCGCCAGTGTGCTTGTCCCTCACCTCTCTCCTTCCTATTCAGGGGTCTCCGGGACCATCCGGTGAGGCTGGTCCCCCTGGGCCACTTGGAAAGAGGGTAAGTTGGGGACCCCGGATTTGGGGTCTACTTCATTGGGGGAGGGCAGGAGCTGTTCCCCCCTCCCCTTGCACCCCCAGGGGCCTGGGATTGGGACCCACGGGACGAGGGGAAGGGAAAAGGCATCCAGAGCCAGCCCAGGACCCCAGCAAAAGACCACCCCCAAAAAATCAGGTCTCGGGGTCCACTTATACTCCGGGGTCTAAGCCCGGTGTCCGTCTCCTGCTCCTTCGGCCGCAGGGGGCCACAAAATGCCTCCCCTTGTTGAGGGAGAGCAGGACACAACACCAGCCCCTGTTTCTGCTCAGCCCACCCCCACCCCAGAGGGGCAAAGACCCCCGACCCAGCTCAGCCTGGCCCCTCCTTTCTCCTCTCCGCAGGGCCCCGCTGGAGCCCCCGGCCCCGAAGGACGGGAGGGAGTAAAGGGCAAGAAGGTGAGTGGGGCTACCCCTGGGTGGGGAGGTCACCGTGCCCCCCTAGAAGGCGTGGGGGCTGGGCTGGGCCCCCCGGATGGCAGATGAAGCTCCGGACTCTCTCACCCCCACCCATCCCCCCAAAGGGCCTTCAATCCCCACTGAAGGGTCTTTTTCAGGGAGAAAAGAAAGGGGGGGGAGATGAGAGGTCAGGAAGGATGGGGGTCCCGACTGCAGCGAAGGGGTCTTCTCTGGGGGCCCCCGCAGAGAGGATTTTTTGGGGGAGGGGGGGTCTGCGTTGGCCTGCTCAGCTGTTGTTCTGCTAGTGCTTCCATCCTGGAGGCCTTGCAGGCCACGAGAGTGGGGAGGGGGCCTTAGAGGTCATCCAATCCAGCCCCCTCGAAGCTGGAGGGAGCTAAGCTAAGCCCTCTCCTGTGGGCTCTTTCGTCCTTCATTCTGAGCCTTGTCCCACCCTAACTCTCCCCCTCTCTCCAGGGAGAATCGGGCGCCCTGGGCCCCCCTGGCAAAACCGGGGCCGTGGGACCCCAGGGGACTCCTGGGAAACCCGGCATGGAAGGCTTAAGAGGCGTCCCCGGATCTGTGGTAAGAGGGGGAGCAGCTGCCTTGTTACTTGGGGGGGTCTGTCTGGCTCCTGCTGAGGTGGGAGGCTGGGAGGGTCAGGGTGGGATCCCATGGGGGGAGGGTCAGCAGGCAAGGGAGGTGTGGGACACCCCTTCCTGCAAAGGGGGCTTACATTTACATCTCGGTCTTCGGTCTCTTCCAGGGGGCTCAAGGAAAAACGGGGGCCACGGGCCAGGCTGGGCCCCCAGGACCTGCAGTGAGTGGCCACCTGTTGCGGGGGGGAGGCTGACCGAATTTGGGGAAGGGGCTGACCGCCACAGGAGCTCCTTAAAAACTGCCGTGGGGTGTTTCTTCCCACAGGGGCCCCCCGGACTGCCTGGCCTGAAGGGTGAGACGGGCCCCAAAGGAGAGAAGGTAGGAGGGGGCCACGCGAACAGGGTTCGGGGCGAGCGGCCTTCTGGGACAGAGGAGGGAGCCCCCCATCTGCTGACACCCCCGTCTCTCCACAGGGTCACCCGGGACTCATTGGCTTGATTGGACCAGCCGGAGAGCAAGGAGACAAAGGGGATCCGGGGCCCCCGGGCCCCTCAGGCAGTGGGGGTCTTAAGGGGGAGACTGTAAGTGCTGGGGTGGGGGGGCTGGGAGGGGCTTGAGGGGCAGGGATGAGCTTAACCCCCCTCCCACTTTCCTGCCTTTCTCTCCCCCCTACAGGGCTTCCCTGGACCGACCGGCCCTCTTGGCCCCGCGGGACCCCCGGGACTTCCTGTGAGTAGCGCCTGACACCCTCCCCCCGCCCCTCTTACGCCTCCTGGATGGGACCCCCCAACTCTCTTCTTCTCTTTCAGGGTCCTCCCGGTGTGCAGGGCGCCAAAGGAGCCTCGGTGAGTGATTCAGCCCCGCCCCACAGCGCTTGGGGGTGGTGTGTGTGTGTGTGTGTGTGAGGAACAGGGGGGGAAGGAAAGGGAGGAAAGTCTCCCCTTGAGGACTAACCTCTTGGCAATTTGATTCCAGGGTGAAGCCGGACCCAAAGGACAGCGAGGCGTCCCCGGGCCGCCTGGGAATCCGGTAAGACCCCCCAGCCTCTCCTCGCCCTGCCTGTTTCCCCTCGGTAGAGGGGATCCAGAGGACCCTGGGAGGCGCGTTTCTTTGGCTTCCCTCCCAGTTTTTCCAAGTCTGCCTTAAAAATGAATTTTCGTAAAATATCTAAAAATATAAAAATAACAGTCGTAATAACAATAAAACAATAATAATAATAATACCAGCTGTTGGAAGGGCGGCGACCGTCTTAAAACACCCCCTAGGGGCGATTTAAAGGCTGAGAGTTTATCGCGGCCAAATATTTAATTTGATTATCTGATTATTTTATTTTTTAAGTGTATATATCGGTCGTACTGGACTTACGATCACAACTGGGTCTTAAAGGTCTGTCGCTAATCGGGATAGACGTTAAGTGAGTTTTTGCCCCATTTTTACGACCTTTCTCGCCCTGGTTCTTAAGTAATCGTTGGTCGTTAAATAAATCCGGCTATTGACTTTGCCGGTCAGAAGGTCACAAAAAGGGGATCATGTGATACCCCCCCTGGGATGCTGCAACCGTTGTGTGAGTCAGTTGTCGCGTATCCGAATGTGAATCACGTGACTCTGGGAATGCTGTAACATGGGCGTAAGTCTGAAAAACGGTCATTTTTTAAACGGTCATTAAACGAATTGTTGTAAGTTGAGGACTATCTGTATCACCGATCTTGTATCCAAAGCGACTTTTGACTTCGTTCGCACCATGTCCCCAACTTGGCTGCTTCCTGGGGTTCGAGTGATACACAAACGGTCCTCTATTTACAACAATTCGTTTTTAGTGACCGTTCAAAGTGACCACCACCTTTTTCACACAACTACTTGCAGCATCCCTTGTGGTCACGTGATCCAAATTCGGACGCTCGGCCACTGACTCGTATTTACGGCGGTCGCAGCGTCCCGGGGTGAGGGGGTCACGCGATCCTCTTTTGCGACTTTCTGACCAGCAAAGTCAAGGGGAAAGTTGGATTCGCTTAACAACCATGTTACTCACTTAACAACGGCAGTGATTCACTTAACAACTGTGGAAGGAAAGGTCATATAATGAGGCGAAACTCACTTAATAACTGTCAACACCTAGTGACAGAAATTTTGAGCTAAGTTGTGAGGGTAAAGCGAGGGCTCCCTGCGTTGGCCCACCTGCTTGTGGTGCCCGAAGAGGGGCTTGCGTCATGTCTGATTGGGGGTAACCTCTCGGGCAGGGTCCGCCAGGCGAGGCCATCCAGCCGCTGCCCATCCAGCGTGCCAAGAAGAGCCGGCGCTCGGTGGACGGCAGCCAGCTGGTACCCGAGGAGGAGATGGAAGCGGCCGACGAGCCAGCGGGTCAGCTGGCTTCCGGGCTGGTGGAGGGGATCTACGGCACCCTGGAGACCCTCCGGCAGGAAATCGAGGGGATGCGGAAGCCGCTGGGCACCCGGGACAGCCCCGCCCGCACCTGCCAGGACCTCCGGCTGGGCCAGCCAGAACTGCCCGACGGTGAGTATAACGGGACGGCGAGAATTGGGAAGGGCCTCGGAGGTCTTCTAGTCCAATCCCTGGACACGCCGGAGACTCGATTCCATTTCTGTCCGGTCTCTTCTTGACAAGAGGCCTGCTTGCCACTCCTCACCCCCGGGGGTCCTGCCCTGCCCTTCCCGTTCAAAAGCCACGTGGCTTCTGTCCTGGGGAGGGGCTGCAAGGTGCTTGCCATGGGGGGGCGAAATCTCGTGGACTCCTTTCATGGGAGAGACGGCGGTTCCTTTGTCAAACCCAGAAGCTGCTGGATTAACTACAACGCCCAGCAGCCCCCGCCAGCAGAAGAGGGGAGGGGGCAGCCCCAGCTCCTGAGATCTGCACCCCCCCATGCCTGGACTCCACCCATGGTTCTCCCTGCAAGCCCTTTGGGGGCAAACACGAAATCCCGGGGGGATATTTGCAGCCCGGATCACCTTCGCCACCAAACAGTCCTCTGTTTTTTGGGTTGGGTGGGGGTTGAGTTTGCAAGGGGGCCCCTGGAGTTGTGGGACACCCCTCCCGAAACTGGAGGCTCGGTGGGCAATGTTGGCCCTTCCTTTCTCCCCCCACCCCAGGCGAATATTGGATCGACCCCAACCAGGGCTGTTCCCGGGACTCCTTCCGGGTCTACTGCAACTTCACGGCGGGAGGGGAGACCTGCGTCTTCCCCAGCTGGGAGTCCCGAGAGGTGAGGAGGGGGCTCTGGGCACAGGGAGGGGGCTGGTGTGGCTGGGGGGGTTCGTGGGGATCCTGCTGCCCCCCTCAAATGAAAACACTAAAAGCCGATGGCCCTGTTTCTGCCCTTTGGGCAATTTATGAAAATGAAGGTTGGGGTCCCGAAATAGTCCAGGTGGCACCCCTGGCGATGCTAGGCTGGCCCTTCTGTGTGTGTGTGGGGGGGGTCAACCAGTCTGGGCCCCCTATGTGGTGGGCACAGCCTGTCCGGGCAGGGGGCAGAGGGAAGCTGCGTTTCAGGGCGAAGAGCTTTGTCACGACCCTCTTCCGGGATGTGGTTTCGGCCTCGCCGTCACAGCTGCAGTTCTGTGATTGCCTCTTGGTCTCCCATCCAGGCCTGGCCCTGCTTAGCTTCCAAGTGAAGACCAAAAGGCTTTGAATGGGGCAGGGTGGCTGTGGGTCCCAGCCCCGTGTGTGTATGGGGGGGGGAGGACCCCTTCAGAAAGCCAAAAAGGGGGAGACTTTGCCTTTGGGGCCAGCCACAACGAGGCCCCGCTGCTCCTGGCTGCCCACTCTTTCCCTCTCTCTCTCCCTGTGGGTCAGAAAACCAAGCCACGCATGGCAGTGCGGGCACAGCTTATTTTGCCCCCCCTCCCAGGCTCAAGAATGACCCCAGATTTCCTCGCCTCTCCCCAAAATATCCATCCTTAGCGTCTTTCCATGGGAAGGCCGGTCCTTTGAGCGTTTCCCTCTACAGGTGCCCATGGCAGCGTGGGAGGAGGAGGAGAAGGAGACCCCCCCGAGGTGGTTCAGCCAGTTCCAGAAGGGCCGTCGGGTGAGTCCCCTGGCTGGGGGGGGGTTGCTGGCAGTGGGTCCCCCCCTCGGTCTCTCCTGCACCTGAATCTCCCCTCCTGGAGGGTGTTGGGGGACACGCAGGAAGATTAGAATGGAATCACAGCGTCGGAAGGGACCTTATAGGTCATCCAGTCCAACCCCCTGCTTAAACAGGAGACGCCCATCCCAGAAGGCAGCCAGGATTTGCTGGGCAGGAGGGATGTTCATGGTGGGGGAGACCTCTTAGTTCAGGGGCTCTGGGGGGGGAAAGTGGGGAACAGGGCTCTCCGCCATGAAATCCTCCTTCCAGACTGCCAAATGTAGTGGCCAGTCTAGTGGGTCAGCTCTTGTGCTGCATTCACACAACACCCCAAGCGTCACCCCGAAGGACCTGCTGGAGCAACCTTCGTGAAACTTGCCAAGCCCGGAAATGGGGGGAAGGGTGTGGAGAAAGTGGGGTGGGGGAGGAGAGAATTGACTTCCTTCTGGCTTCCCTTGGAACTTGTTGTGTTGTATGAACGCAACACGTTTGGTTAGCCCTGATCTGAGACGGGGACAGGAACCTAGCAAATGGATTGGCAAATGGTTCCCCAGCGCAGGGCGCCGTGCGAAGGCCGTCTGTTTGCAGGGAGGGGGGAAGGAGGGATAGAATCTCCAAAATGGGACCCTCAAGGCCATCCAGCCCACCTCCCAACTCAGGGCCCAGCGTTCTCTGCTTGAGGGCAGCCGCCCCCTCCAGTTCGTCAGCTCCCTGTTCTGCTCCGCTGGGTTTTCCCAGCAAGGTCAGGTGGGGTGCCTGACTTACTTACTCCCCCCCCAATCTTGGCTCCCCCCCCCCAGTTCTCCTACGTGGATGCGGCTGGCCAGCCGCTGGGCGTGGTGCAGCTCTCCTTCCTCCGTCTGCTGAGCATCTCCGCCCGCCAGAACTTCACGTACCACTGCCGGCACTCGGTTGCCTGGCACAGCCCGGAGTCCCCCGCCTTGGGGGGCTACCAGCGGGCGCTGCGCTTCCGTGGGGCCAACGAGGACGAGCTGAGCTACGACAACAGCCCCTACATCAAGGCGGTGGTGGACGGCTGTGCGGTGAGCGCCCGGGAGGGGAAGAACCTGGAGGGGACGGGATCCGTACTCAGAGAGGGCAGGACGAAAGGCAGGCCTGGCATCTTGTGTCCTCCACCTTGATGGATTCAGGGGGGGGGGCTCTCAGATTATTTCTCCCACGACCGGCTGCCGGTGTTGCTTCCCTCCCATGGGGGGTGTTCAAGGGCCCACCCTGGCACGGGTGGGGGCAGGTGGGCGGGTGGGAGAACGGACGCAGGACAAAGCATATCCCCCCAAAATGGGGGGTCCCGATGTCCCCCGTTCCCAACTTCCGAACTGAAAGATGGACTCTCAGCTTCTCTTCGGGGGAGGGGCAGTGACCCTCACCCCTGTGGTGACCCTTCTCTTCTTCACCCCCCCTCCCCAGGCACGGAAAGCGTCCAGCAAGACGGTCCTGGAGGTCAACACCCCCCAGGTGGAGCACCTGCCCTTGCTGGACGTGCACCTGACGGACTTTGGGGAGCCCGGGCAGGGCTTCGGCTTTGAGGTGGGGGCCGCCTGCTTCCTGGGCTAGAGCGGAGACCCCCCAGCACAGCCGGCCGGCCTCGTCCGAGGGGGACCAGCTTCCTGGTGCCCAGCAAACAGTGGAGACCATGGTGGGGTGTGTGTGTGAGGGGGGTCCAGCAACTGGAAGAAGATCCCTCTATTGAAGGGGTGCAGAGAGACCCTCCCCCCATGGAAATTTTCTCCCTCCCAAATTTTCTCTGTGCTCCCTCCCCCTGCTGAATCCCCCTTGGGGCTCTGACCCCCCCCCTCTTCAGATGGACCCCCTTCCTGGTTCATTGCTTCCTGATAGAGGCCCCCCCTCGCAAACAACAGAGACCCCGGGCATCATTGAATGCCCCCTCCCACTAAACCCCTGCTTAGCCCCACCCACTTCAGCCCTATTGATGGCAACTTTTACCCTTACCTCCCCCCCTCCTTGAAGTCGGTGGGAGGCTTGGAAAAATGGGGTCCGAGGTCGCCCCCTCCCCCCATTTTTCTCTTCTTCCTCTTCCCCCCCCCCCGTCCACCCAACCTCCCCTTCCTTTATCCCACGCAAAAGTCCTGGGTATGAAAGAAAAGTTAAAAAAAAAAGAAGTCCAAAGAAGAAAGAGGAAACCGTATATATTTTATTTTGTTTTTATAAAAAAAAAGAAATAAATTAATTATATTATTTAATGGAATCAATATTAAAAAGAACATTTTTTTCCCCTGCTGCAAATTTGTAATCTTGAAAATGGTGTGTGTGTATGTTTGCGTGTGTGTCTGGGGAATGTGAGTTTGAGATCTCACTTCTGGGCTACGGGAAATTTAAGAAATATATTGAATTTTTCTAACAGACTGGCTCATGCTTTCCATCATCAGGGGTGTCCAACCGTGACCACTTTAAGACTTGTGGACTTCAACTCCCAGAATTCCCCAGCCAGCAAGTCTTAAAGTGGTCACGGTTGGACACCCCTGGTTTGGAACGTACCACACAGGATGTTTTCCCCTGGCTTGGAACATACCACAAATGTAGGGTGTGCTGGGAGTTGAAGTCCACAGGTCTTAAAGCGGCCCCGGTTGGACACCTCTGGCTTGGAACGTACCACAAACACAGGATGTTCTTCCCTGCCTTGGAACGTACTACAAATGTAGGGTGTGCTGGGAGTTGAAGTCCACAAATAAAGTGGCCACAGTTGGACACCCCTGGCTTGGAACGTACCACAAACACAGGATGTGCTTCCCTGGCTTGGAACGTACCACAAATATAGGGTGTGCTGGGAGTTGAAGTCCACAAGCCTTAAAAGTGGCCACAGTTGGATACCCCTGACTTGGAACATACCACACAGGATGTTCTTCCCTGGCTTGGAATGTACCACAAACCTAGGGTGTGCTGGGAGTTGAAGTCCACAGGTCTTAAAAGTGGCCCGGTTGGACACCCCTGGCTTGGAACATACCACAAACACAGTATGTGCTTCTCTGGCTTGGAACACACCGCAAATGTAGGGTGTGCTGGGAGTTGAAGTCCACAAACCTTAAAGTGGCCATGGTTGGACACCTCTGGCTTGGAACGCACCACAAACATTTGTGAGTGTGCAAACTACTTTCCTGAGCCAATATGGAGCCTTCCTCCCTGCCTGTGGGTCCTTTGTAGCACAGGGGCTGCATCCCTAGAGTTTTAGAAGCTGTTTTTTCTGTTTGTGTATTGTGTGACTGTTGAACCACAGCTGATGTGGGAGAGGGGGAGGAGGGGCCAAGGTCAGCCAAAGGGGGCCACTATCACATCTTGTGGTAGGGAGTTCCATAAGTTGAGCACATGTTGCATTGAGGGTCCTCTCGTGACCTCTAGACAGGAATGGAATAGAGGGGGGTCCCCAACTTATGTCCACTTGCTTAGCGGCCGTCTGACAGTAGCGACTTAACAATCCACCCTCGTACTTAGGACCGCTGCAGCATCCTTGTCGCAGTCGTGCGATCACCATCCAGGCGCTTGGCTTGCGTTGACGACAATTCTCTCTCGTGATCGCAATTTGCGACCTTCTCAGACGGCTTCCCACAAAGTCATTGGGGAAGCCTGCGGGAAAGACGGGCAAAGGGCGGTCACTGACGTCTGGCTTAAATCACAGCAGAAAAGATGGTAGAACTGGGTGAGGTGATGCCTCATTTAATGACCACGTTGCTTGGCGATCAATTTTCCAGTCCCCGATTCCGATCGTACATTGAGGACTGCCTGTTATCTGGCACCCAAAATGTCACAAATGCTAAGCTGGGTCAGTGTTGTCACCGCATTCACACACAAACAGACACCTCTTTCCTTCTTTAGGGAACGACTCCAGTTTGTGTGAGGCACACTCACCAGCAAGCTCTGCCCGTGGCGATGGCACGGGAACGGGGAGAAGTGTGGGTGAGCCTGCCCCCCAATTCCAGCCTCCCCCCCTTCCCCCTCGGTCCCAAGGAGGCCTTCTGGGTCACAAGAGAGTTTATTAACAGGACTGTACAAGGGGGTGGGGGGCTTCCACCCTCAGAAGTTGGGCCGGTGCTTCTTCACCTCGACCATCAGGTGGTGGATGTTGATGAGCTCGGAGCGGACGGAGAGGGCCTTCAGAGGGGGCAGCGCCAGGACCTTGTGGAAGCGGTGGTAGTACTGGATCAGCTGCGTCAACGCCCCCTGCAGACGGCAGCGAGCAGTGAGGAAGAGCTCGGCCTTGCCCCTTCTGGGCCCCCGCCTCCCTCCCACTGGGTGCCCTGCCCCCAACCTGGATGATGGTGGTCCCGTTCTTGAAGTTGGTGAAGGAGCGCATCACGTCCTGGCTAAGGGTCTCCACCGAGGCCTTCCAGGTGGTGGCAAAGCCCCGCACCAGTTGCGTCACCCGGGCTGTGGGGCGAGGAAGGTGGAGTGAGTGGCGCAAGGACCCCCTACCTCCTCCTCCTCCCCCCCACGTCCATGCCCCACTCACCTTCCTCCCCTCGCAGGCGCTCCAGCTGTCCCCGCTCGGACAGCCCCTCCACCTCCTTCACGAAGGCTATCATGCCCCCGAACCCCGGGGCCAGGAGCTCCTCGATGAACTCCTGCCAGGGAAGGGTCTCAGCTGAGACAGAGGAACCCCCTCCCACAAGGCCCCTCTGAGGGCATGGGGTGCCCCCCTATTCTACCCACTGAGTGCATCGACTCAAGCATTGTCCAGCACGACTCTACACAACGGGAACACGTCAGTCCTGCAACTGAGCCAGCGCTGTGTCACGCCTGGTGTGTACCCGACATGCCTCCCCCATTGCCCCAGGAGAGGGAAAGGCAGGACCCTCCCCCCAGAGGCCCAGTTGGAGACCCCTTGGGCTTCTTGAAGATGGGGAACCACCCACCCATCCCGGCCCACCTGAGTGCGGGCATTCAGCAGCTGCTGGAACCCGTCCACCTCCTTGCTCTCCTCCACCGCTCGCTCCTGAGGAGGACAGAGGAGGGACAGCGCGTGTGTGTGGGGGGTGAGGCTTCGTCCTTCTACCCCTCCCTCCTCTTGCTGGACACTCCCCCTCAGTCGCCTGCGTACCATCAGGACACCCAGCATCATGTCGTAGTTGTTAATGAGGAAGATGAGTTGCTCGGTGCGGGAGGAGAATTCAGCTGCCACACGCAGGACGAAGTTCTCCACTTCGGTCTGGGGGGGGGGAGGAAGGGAGGGAAGCAGGCAGCATCAGAGAAAGGCTCATCCCTCTCTCCAGAACAGCTCCCCCAATACTAGGAGGGGCAAGATTCCCCAATGCTAGGAGGTGCAAGACTCCCCAATACTAGGACGTGCAAGACACCACCCTATGCCCAACAGCCAGACTGAGCCCAGTTAGTAAGAAAAGCCAAGGAAAAGCAGGATACGGGGGGGGGGGGGGGATCAGAGGCTGCATCTGCCTGGCCCCACAAACCCCCCCCAGGAGACCCTCACACTTCAGCCCCTGGCCGGATCCAGCATACAGAGAACCAGGAAACCGGACAGTTCAGAAATGTTTGTTACACCATGGATGGTGACCCACGCAAACAACCAGAGTGTGGAAAGGTCCCCTTTCTCAACCCATCTGGGGAGGGGCAGCCCCCCCCATCTCTGGGTCAAGCTGCTCTCCCTGCAAGGAAGGTCTCTCCGTCCCGCAGATGGGCTCACCTGGAGCTGCCCCAGCAGGGCCAAAGTCCGTTCGTGGGGGAAGGTCTGGTTGATGCTGACGATGGCCGAGGAGAACTCTGCGTACCGCCGGGTGATCTGCGGGTGGGGAGAGAGTAGAGAAGCGGGGTGAGGGGCCTCTGGGCTCTCTAGACTTGGCTACGGTAGCCCCCTCCTTCTTGGCTGGACCACGGGCAGATGGGCATCCAAGCATCCCTGCCAGACCTTTCCCCAGCTCTGCTCCAATCCAGCGCCAGGGTCCCCCTGCCCATCTCCGGCAACTGGGGAGCTGTTTGGCCATAAGCCCACCCCCCTTTTTCAGTCCTCGCATTCTGCCCTGCAGGAGAGAAACTCAGCCCCCTCCCCACTAAGCAGAGAGGGGCGTTCACCCCTCCCTTCCCGAGGACAGGGCTGTTCCCGTGCATACGTACGTAGTGGGGACGCGTGTCGAGGAAGCCCAGTTTCTGGGGGTCCGTGCTCTGGATGCTGTGAATATTCAGCTCCAGAATGTACTGAAATCGCGGCCAGAGCAGTTCCAGTAATGTGTCCCAGTACCTGGGGGGGGGAGGGAGCGTCAACCAGACAAACGACACCTCAAAATGCGTTTGAATACTAGTAGCTCAGGTTGGTAGTTGGGCTGTTGGATTGAGCTCAGAGCTTGACGCCAATGTTTCGTCACCCTTCAAGGAGATATCGTCAATGCACTTTGAACTGTGCTCGTCTGTCAGAGCGCTGACCTTTAAATACCTTTTTACGTGATGCAAATGTACGCAATGAACAAGTAACATTCATGTCAATTTGCATCACATAAAAAGGTATTTAAAGGCCAGCGCTCCGACAGACGAGCACCATTCAAGGCATACTGACGTCGTCTCCCCGAAGGGTGACGAAACGTCGGCAACCAAATTGCCAAGCTCGGAGCTCAAACCAACAACCCAGAAGACACCCTGCCTGACCCCATCAGCCCCCACTGGCCAAGGGAGAGAGTGTTGGGGGGGGCAAAGGGGGCTTACTTGTCAATAGCCGGGACATTGCGCTTGGCCACCAGGGCCTTGAACCGAAGGACGATGTGGATGCAGAGGAAGACGGCGATGCTGTCATAGCAGTCGCTCACGTAGGCATCCATGTGCTTCTGTGGGGAGGGGAGCAGAGAGAGATGAGATGCACGGCGGGGGGCCCTGCTTCTCGGACCCCATCCCTCCCAAAGGATTCTAGGTCCTCGGACTGCAGGGCCCCTCGGGAGCCAGGCATGAAAGTCCCGTAGCCGGAAAGATCCAGAAAGAGGTGTCTCCAGGTTATGCCTAAATTTCAATTATTCTGAGTCCCTCGTCAACAAAAAGCAGAAAGAACAGAGCTGGAAGGGACTTATAGGAGACCCTAGAGCAGGGGTAGGCAACCTTGGCTCTTTTATGACTCGTGGACTTCACGAGTTGAAGTTCTGGGAGTTGAAGTCCACGGGTCATAAAAGAGCCAAGGTTGCCTACCCCTGCCCTAGAGCATTCCTGACAAATGCCCATCCAGTCTCTTCGTAAAAGTCTCCAGTGTTGGAGCACTCACAACGTCTGGAGGCAAGCCGTCCTATCGGTTAATTATTCCCGCTGTTCGGAAATTTCTCCTTAGCTCTAGGTTGGTGCCTTGATTAGCGCCCACCCACTGCTTCTTGTCCTGTCTTCAGATGCTTTGTAGGTTTGATACCCCCCCATCTTCTTTGCGGCAGGCCCCTCAAATATCGGAGCACCGCTGTCGTGTCGCACCTGGTCCTTCTTTTCATCAAGTTTCATTTGATGCCCGCAAGGCGTGGTCTAGCCCCCCCCGCCTCCCACCCCCAGACCCGGCCGCAGATGCTCACGAGGAACATGGCGAGGGTCTTGCCCATGACGGCGTTGAAAAGGTCCAGGGCGGGGGTCCCGGCCACCAGGAAGAAGTCGCAGAGGAACAGGTACTCGCGGCAGCTGTTGTCCAGCAGGGCGTAGTGTTGACTCCGGAAGAGCGACTCAAAGGGATACTGCGCAGAGGGGGGAGGCGACACTGGCAGGACCCTCGGGGTAGTGCCTCGGGATCCCCAGCGCTCCCCGGCTCCCATCCCTTCTTCCTCCACAAAACTCCATTTCTTCCAGAGACTTCCCGTTGGACAGAGAAAGCAAGCAAACCCCAAATGGAGGGACCTGCGTGTCCACGGACTACAACTACCCTCATTCCCAACCAAGCTCTGCTTGAGAGGCTGAAGACCTGCCAGTCTGGAGGAGGGCTCTGGGTGGCATGAAGCTCTTCTACGTAAATCAAAGGGTCCCCCAAATGACACCGAAAGGCAGCTGCCGCTGCCGCTGCACAAAAACGGAAAGATTAGGGAAGGCAAGAGCTGAGGGACCCCCGTGCCTCAAGAAAACCCCCTACCCTAATTTGTCTTGCTGACTGGGGGGAAAGGGGCATGTTTAGCAAATCCTCTGGGTTCTCCTGGGAGACTCCCATCTTAATCAGTGTAAGGCAGCCACACACACAACCTGCAGCCGCTGCGGTCCCTGCCGTTTGAAAGGCTGGACTTACTCGGACGTCGCTCTTCTGCGCTGAGTGGGGGACGATGATGGGGCCCTCCAGCTCGGCGCTGCTGATCACGTTCCCCCGGTTCCCCAGGGTGAAGATGGTGTTCCGGCTGCGGAGGGAAGGCTTGGAGAAGAAGCGTGGCCAGCCGCTGTCAAGGACCACTCCGTGGTGAAAGTGGATACCCTGTCCATCCCCGGGTCAGGGTCCTTCCTTCTTTCCCCTCCCTCTGGCCATGCGGGGCAGCCCCAAACACGAGCCAGGTGGGGTGCAGATTGGGGGGGAGGAGGACTGCCTGCAAGCCTCCCTTGGCTGCTGGTCCGGTTGCCCCCTCCCCCGGGGTCCCCCCCAGGAAAGGATATCCTTCTTGCCGGTGTCTTCCACTCCCATCAGGTCGTCCTTCTCAGCCACCTCCTCGTACTGCAGGTTCGGGAGACAGAAAACGGGGTCGAACTTGCTACGACGGAACGATGCAGACGGAGGGGGAGGGGGCCCTGCATCCGGGATGGAGGGGAAGGGAGACCAGGCCACCTGCCCAGGGAGCTCACCTGGAGCTTCATCAGGCGGTTGGTGTAGGACTTGAAGTAGCTGAGGTAGATCTTGCTCATGGTGTCCACGTACTCGTCCCGGACCTCCTTGGCGATGACCCGCTCGTGGCCCAGCAGGAACTGGTAGAAAAACCTGCCACCAAAGAGGAGGGATTTCGCTTGTCCCCCACCCCATAGAAGAGGGGGGTGGGCGTCCCAATTTGCTCTCCCCAAACCCAGCGTGAACGTCTGCAGAGAAATACCTTGAGCTTCTCCTGAATCTCCCAAGGTGAGAGGGATCGTGCCCAAAGCATTCTGGGAGGCCGACCGCTCCCCAGAAGCCTAGGGCATGCTGGGAGGAGACGTGCAGCTGCCTGGCCCAACCTCCTACCTGTACTTGAGCAGGGCATTCTGGGGGATCTGGTAGTTGGTCATGGGCTTGCGGAAGGAGTAGACTTTCTGCAGGATGAATTCCCGGATCTTGGCTACCGCCTGGTGGAGGAAGGAGAACCACCCATGGGGCACCTCTAGCCAAAGGCTGGGGCACCAGCCCCCCCCAAGTCTCACCCCTTCCCACCCACCCATACACCTCCCTGACAATTCTGCAGCCAGAGGCTTGCAGGAAAGTGGGACCATCTGATGCGATGGGCAGACGGAACAACCTTGAGGAACAACCTCAGCCAAAACTGCCACAACAGATAAAAGAAACCAGAGTCTGGGCCAGAACGGTAACCTGAGAAAGCCACTAAGTCCTCACAAAGATAGAATGTGAGAGCTGCCATCTTTCACGCGCACCTATGCTTCGCTCCCGTGTTTCCCCAAATATAAGATCAGGTCTTATATTAATTTTGGCTCCAAAAGGTGCATTAGAGCTTATTTTCTGGTTAGGCCTTATATTCGGGGAAATACGGTACTAAATGTGTCTGTCTGGCTCAGGGGTAGGCCACCTTGGCTCTTTTATGACTCAGGGACTTCAATTCCCAGAATTCCTGAGCCAGCATGACTCAGCTTGGAAACCTCTCCCTTTCCCCTCAGCATGGCTGGCTCAGGAATTCTGGGAGTTGAAGTCCATGAGTCATAAAAGAGCCAAGGTGGCCTACCCCTGGTCTGACTGATGATCTTCACTGGGGCTTATATTACAAGCATCCTGAAACATCACGCTAGGGCAGGGGTGTGAAACTGCCTGCCCACGCACAAGTCGGTTGCATCATGCATAGGCCGTGCCCACCCCGGGTCCGGCAATGCAAAAAAAAAGTTGCGATACATTGCGATACATCACATGACGCGGTGAATTTGACACCCGTGCGCTACGGCTTATTTTCTGGCGGGGTCTTATTTTCAGGGAAATCTGGTAGATGCCAATCTGCCATAAGCCAAGGGGGGAGGGAACTGTGGGAAGATGGGGGGAGGGAAACCGAAAGCAATCTCCGAGCCGACCTGAGACGTCCCAAGGCTGCGGACATCTCTCCGCCTAACCAACCGTTGCAGGGTGGGTTACTAAAATAGCTTCTTCGAATATGACCGGACAACAGGGAGGTAACCAAGGGGTTGGAACAGAGAAGGGAAAATTAACTAGGGGTCTTTGCCCACAAAGTCTTAGATCTGGCTTTGCTACGTAACAACCACTTCGTTTTAGTAAAAAAGGGATCAGGCTGGGGATCAGGCTGGGGCAGGTCGGACACGGAGGAAGGGAAGGGGAACGATTCTTCCCGTTACTTCTTACAATAAAAATGTTTCTAGCTGGTGCACCTTTGGTTTACGAATCCGGTCTACCTTGCAGGAACAATGTCTGAAGAACAGGAAGAAACGGGGGCCCCGCCAGAGAAGGAGGAAGGGAAGGCGCCCGGCTTCTCACCTTGGCCTTCAGCTTGTCCAGGATGTCCGCCACGTCCGTGCAGGCCATGGTCTCACGGAAGGCCTGCTCCTTCACGGCGTTGATCTTGTTGTTGAGTTCATGCAGCTGCTCCAGGAAGGCCTGGTCGGTCACTGGTGTCTCCAGGATGGTGCTGGAGGACGGGAGAGGGAGGAGCATCAACCGGGCGTCCTCTTCCCCCCCCGCGGGACTCCCCACCCTCTCCCTTCTCTGCCGGGATGATGGGCCCTTCTGCCCTGCCGGACCTGATCATGACGTTGGGCACCACCAGCTCGTCCACCAGCTGGGAGAGGCGCCCGCGGACGGCCTGGCGGTTGCGCAAGCGGACGTTCATGGCGACCGACTGCTCCTGCAGCGTCTGGATCTCACAGCTGATGCTGCTCAGGTCGGACTGGAAGGAGCTCAGCATGGCCTCCATGCGCTGGGGAGAGGATAGGCAGGTTTTATCCACCTTGCACACGCACACACACACACCTGAGTCAGCTAGGCCGAGGGGAAAGCATTCCGGAGTACGGGAAACAGGTCTGGATCTGAGGTGGGGATCAGCCAACCCCACTTCTGCAAAGAGGGGGAAGAACCCACCCAGAAGCCCCCACCCCTTGCTATCTAAGGACTCCTAGGAGAATCCCCACAACGGGCCCTGGGTGAGGAGGGGGACAAAGGGCTCCTCCCCCACCCTCCATGCTGGCCTTGGAGTCTCCCAGTCCTGCCACGCTACTCGGAGCCTTCGTTCACACGGCAGAAATAGAAATATAGAAACAGAAATGGAAACATAGAAAGAGAAATAATAGAAATAACATGTCAGAGCACGCACAGTATTATTGCACTGAGGTAGCCCAGGAGTAAATACAGTAAACAGTGGTTTGTATTAAATGGTGATTTATGTTACATATCTACAAACGTACGCTAGAAACAAGACGCACACACGTGGTCATTCGGCAAACTCCAATACACAGCAGTTACAGCAGGAAACAGACGAGAGAAAGACTATCTAGCAAAAAACCTTCCCATTTATACTCAAGCTCTTAAAGGGATACAGATTCCTGCTGAGTCGTTCCTAACCTTGCATCATTCATCTCACACGATACAAGCTGGTTAGCTTCTAAATCAGGGGTAGGCAACCTTGGCTCTTTTATGACTCGTGGACTTCAACTCCCAGAATTCCTGAGCCAGCATAGCTGGCTCAGGAATTCTGGGAGTTGAAGTCCACGAGTCATAAAAGAGCCAAGGTTGCCCACCCCTGTTCTAAATCATTACCTTGACATAATAGAAATAGAGCTGGAAGGGACCTTGGAGGTCTTCTAGTCCAGCCCCCGCTCAAGCAGGAGAGGCTATACCCCAGTGACTGTCTAGTCTCTTCTTAAAAACCTCCACTGATGGAGCGCCCACAGTTAAATACGGTTGGTGTGCTAAGTGGAAGGAGCCGGAGTCAAGCCGTCCGAGGGTCAACTTATGCGACAGGGGCCAGTGAGTTCGGGGAGCAGTAACCCCCACCCCAAGGCAGCCCCGTCCCTCCCTCCCAGCAGGAAAAGTCCCGGAGGGGAGGAGAAATGCAGAGAGATTCACCTCAAGGACGGCATCGCAGGCCGTGATCTGGGTGTGCAGGGAGGCGATGTTCTTGCTCTCCTTAATATCTGGGAGGGGGGGCTGCTAAGGACAACAGTGGGAGGAAGGGGTGGGGGGGAGGGGTTCTCCTGACACGAAGCCCCCCCCCCGGATCAGCCTCTTCCCCCCAGCCAGGCAGAGGATACAATCCTTGATGGAGGCGTTCTCGATCTGCTGCAGCTCCTGCTCCACCTGCTTGGAGTACTGCCGGAGATCCACCCCCTGCCAAGGCAGAGAAAGCAGTGAGTGAGGGGATCCCCCCCCCTCGATCCCACGGACACCCCTCCCCCCCGACTTCCGGTCTCTCCCACCGTTTTCAGGGCCTCCTGGACGAGGGCGTCCTCCAGGTTGGCTTGGATGTGAACTGAAAGAGAGAGAGAAAGACAATAACGCTGTCTGGAGCAAGAAAGATTTTGTCGTCCCACCCCAACTAAGCCCCCCAGGTGCTGCCCCCGGGACTGGAGCCCCTCCCTCTTCCTCAGCCCCGCCAGTTAAGAGAATTGCCTTGCCAAGCTGGGGGTGGTGGTGGGAGGGGAAGGGCCGGTTGAACCCCCAGCAACTCTTATTGGGAGAACGGGAAACGGCTCTTCCCAACAGCGTCTTTCTGGATGAACTGGAAATAAGATACTTTCTGTACACGTTTCCCCCAGTGTGTGTGTGAGAGAAACAGCGAACGATAGAACGAAAGAGAGAACGAGAGAGAGAGCAAATGAATGAGAGAGAAAACAAGAGAGGGAGCGAGCCAGCGAGAGAGGAGAGAGAACGAGGAGAGAGAAAATGAGGAGAGGGAGAACAAGAGAGAGTGAACAAATGAGAATGAGAAAAGAACAAGAGAGAGAATGAATGAGAGAGAGAACAAGAGGGAAGAGAGAGGAAAGGAGAACGAGAGAGAGCAAAGAAGAGAGGAGAGAGAACAAGAGAGAGAACGAGAAGAGGGAGAACAAGTGAGAGAGAGTGAACGAGAGAGAGAACAAGAGGGAAGAGAGAATGAGAGAACGAGAAGAGATGGAAAACAAGAGAGAGGAGTGAACAAGAGAGAGAGAGAGAGAGAGGAAAGGAGAACGAGAGCAAAGAAGAGAGGAGAGAGAACGAGAGAAGAGAGAACAAAAGAGAGAACAAGAAGAGAGTGAACAAGAGAACAAGAGGGAAGAGAGAGGAAAGGGACCAAGAGCAAACAAGAGAGAAGGGAGAACAAGAGAGAGTGAATGAGAGAGAGAACAAGAGGGAAGAGAGGAAAGGAGAACGAGAGCAAAGAAGAGAGGAGAGAGAACGAGAGTGAACAAGAGAGAATGAGAGAACGAGAAGAGATGGAAAACGAGAGAGAGCGAACGAGAGAGAGGAAAGGAGAACAAGAGCAAAGAGAGGAGAGAGAACAAGAGAGAGAAGAGAGAACAAGAGAGAATGAGAAGAGAGAGTGAACGAGAGAACAAGAGGGAAGAGAGAGGAAAGGAGAACAAGAGCGAAGAGAGAGAGAACAAGAGAGAACGAGAAGAGGGAGAACAAGAGAGAGTAAACGAGGGAGAGAACAAGAGGGAAGAGAGGAAAGGAGAACAAGAGAGAGAGAACAAGAGAGAGAGAACGAGAGAGAATGAGGAGAGAGAGGACAAGAGAAAACGAGAGAGAAAATGAAAGGAGGGAGCAAACAAGAGAGAGAGAGAACGAGAGAGAGAGAGAGAAGGAGGAAAGGAGAAGAGAACAAGAAGACAAAATCCGGCTTTGGCTTCTCCTGGGCACCTGAGTTTCCACCTTCTCAGACAGAGACTATGTGAATCTCCTTGTTAAAAGCATCAGTCCACCCTCCTGCCCCCCCTGGACTGAAAGCCCCCGCTCCGGTCCCAGCTCTGGAGAGGCTGCAGAGAGCCCCCCACCCCGGCAGTCTCTCTTGCCGTCCAACAACCCACCCCCTTGCCCAGCTTACTGTCCACTTCGTCCAGGATGAACTCCTCGGAGGTCAGGTCCAGCTCCCCCAGGTTGAGGGGCAGCGGCTCATCGCTCTGGCCCTGGGGGGGGAGACATACCAAAGGACCTTGTCATGCCCTCAGTGTGTGTGTGTGTGTGTGTGTGTGTGTGTGTGTGTGTGTGTGAAGCAGGGCCCTCTCCTCCTCCTCTGGCGGGATTCATGCAGACCCAACACTTGGGGCCCTCTGTGCATGGACGGGCAGGCTCTGGTCCAGAAGAGGGTCACCCCAGAAGGTCAGCCAAGCAGATTCTCGGCCACGCCTGTCCCCAAAGTTGCTTTTTTCAGGAGGCAGTTGGAATTTCCTGCCTTTTTCCCCTGAAGAGGTTTCGCTCCTCGTCCGAGAGGCTTCTTCAGTTCCGCCGTCCAGTCCCAGCTGAAGAAGCTTCTCGGACTGAGAAGCGAAACGTCTTCAAAGCAAAGTCCTGGAAAAAAAATATATATGGCACTTTTGGGTCAGGTTTCCGTTCCGCGGGGGAGGATGGGCCGTGTAGTGCAGAGGGCCAGGAGGAGGGCGGGGCTTTTGTCCCTCCCTCCTCCTCCTCTACTCCACAACCCCCCTCCCCTTCTAGCTCTGGTGACGTCACCTAGTCGGGTCGTGAAACGTCGGCAAGGAAACCACCCAGGGGTCTTCCAACTGGGCCCTTGGATGACTGGTGGACTTCAACTCCCAGAATTCCTCAGCCAGCAAAGCTGGCTGAGGAATTCTGGGAGTTGAAGTCCACCAGTCATCCAAGGGCCCAGTTGGAAGACCCCCTGGGATATTCTCCCCTTTAGTGGTTTTACCCATTTTAGCCCAGAGGGGGGGGGCTACATAAAGGGAGGGGGGAGGGAGAGGGGCGGGGTCAGACCCAGCCCCGCCCCCTGCAGGAATGCATGGGCGGGAAAGGGGCCACCCGACCCCTGCAGCCCCTCCAGCCCAGGGCGACACTGCTGGCAGGCCGCTGGGGCACAGGTGCAGCTGACATGCGCAGACCGGCCTTCCTGCAGAGACGGGGGGGCGTTGTGGGGATGCCAGCCCCCTCCCCCCCAAAAAGGCCGGAAGTCCACCGGTGCATCGCCTGCGGGACCCCGAAGGCTGCAGGCGGCCACCCGCCAGGTGCAGCCCGGGGGTCCTGGCCGGGGGGAGGTCAAAGGTGAAAGGGGGCGTGGCCGCAGACGGCCATGAGGATGGGCGGACCAGCGAGACCGAGAGGGGGGAGGAAGGAGCGCCGCCGCCGCCGCCGCCCACCTCCTCCTCCTCTTCCTCCTCCGCCTCCCCCGGGCCGAGCTGTCCCTGCGGGCGCCGCGGCGTCTCCTCCAGGCCGGAGCCCAGCACGGACGCCATCGCCGCACCAAGAGAGGGCCGCTTCCGGGTGGCGGAAGGGAACTTCCGGTTCCCTCTAGGCCCGGGCCGGAAGAGACTACAACTCCCTGGAAGCGACGTTAGTTTCCGCGGCAGGGGTCACCGGGATTTCTTTCCGGCCGAGGCAGGAAAAGAAATAAAAAGGCTCTTCCAAGGGTTAAACGAGCCGGAACTTTTCTTTCTCGTTTCTCGTTTCCCCTCCGGACACAACAGGGCAAGGCATACATCGCCGTAGAATATACTACTCTATGATACGCCCTCAAGCCTCCTCTCTACATTTTGTCTCTCTATGGTGTACGCCCAGGGGGAGCCGAACCGTCTTAGTCTAAGGCGGCTGAGGCGAGCGACACTCATGCGTTTCTAACTCTATGGTCGCCACACCGGAAGCCTCCGCAGCTTCACTTCGGGGGGCCGGTCCGACGTCGGGCCTCTCACGCTGCGTCGTTTCCTTTTCCGGCCGAGCCGAGAGCGAGAGGAGCCGGCGCGCAGCCATGGTGAGTTACCGGGAGACCAATAATCCACCGCCATCCGCCACGGGGGTCGCGCTCGGCGGGTCAGGAGGGGGCTGGGCGGCTCGGGGGACGCCGGGACTTTGGGGCGGGCTGGGTCGCTCTTCACCCTCCGCAGCTTGAATCCCAGCGCACCGGTTGGATTTGTGCCTGGGCAAGAGGGGAGGGGGCGGCCTTTGCCCACCTCGTCGTCTGGGACCTTTGACCCCCTGCCCTGCTGCGATTCTACGGCTCTGCTGCAGCAGGGCGGGTTTATCCTGGTTTTATCCTGGTTTAATACTTGTCTATTGTATGTACATAGGATGCATGTAGTGCGCATGCGTCACTTAAGCCCATAGTTGTGTTTTGGACGTGTGCAGCTAGTCCTCGGTTTACGACCGCAACGGAGGCCCAGGTTTCTGGGGTCCAGTGAATTTTGCCCCATTTTACGACCGCGATCGTTAAGCGAGTCGCTGCAGCTGCTAAGTGGGCAAACCTGGTTATTCAATGAATCAGGTTGGCTTTGCTGGCCAGAAGGTCACAAAAGCGGATCCTATCTCCCCCCCCCCATTGGCACCCTACGACCATCCCAACTGTGGATCCCATAGGGCCGGGGAACTATGCCCCCCTTTGTGACTGGTGGACTCCAACTCCCAGAATTCCTGAGCCAGCATGGGGGGGGACAGCCACGGTCCCCTTTTTATGACTAATGGACTCCAACTCCCAGAATTCCTGAGCCAGCATGGGGGGGCAACCATGGTCCCCTTTTATGACTGGTGGACTCCAACTCCCAGAATTCCTGAGCCAGCATGGGGGGG